TTAACTGCTTTATTCAAGTGTTAACTGTTTTATTTGAATTTGAGGTAGAAAAGTCTTTTAGTTTGTGCACAGCTTAAGCTGACCTTTCAATTTGAATGCAGCTACTTTTTAGCTGAGCTGTTTTTTGTAGAGTATATTCGCTTTACCAAATCGAATTCTGTTTGCCCCTGCGGACAAATTATTTTTCCCTTCTTTTTATTCTGTTTGCCATGTGCCCAGGTTTCATGTGCATTTGCATGTGACCGATTGAGGTTTATGAATATAAATTGTTTGTTAATTAAATGCAACATCAGCAGCATGAGCAGCAGCAGCAGCAGCAGCAACAGCAACAACTACAACAACAGCAATTATTGTTGAATGATTGTCTGCGCTTTAATACCGGAAATTGATTAAAAGCTCATTTCATTTGCTTGTCATTCGTTTATGTTGCTGTTGTTGCTGTTGCTTTTGCTGTGGCCCCTACTCGCTGTCATAATTTGCCATTTGAAATGATTATGGGTCTTACACACACAGACACACGCAGACATTCACCGTGTAATTGGAAATTCAATTGCATTGCTGATGTTGTAAAGAAAATGTCTCTGACATGGATGTACATTGTTATAGCTAGCTATTTTGTATTCTCATAGTTGTCGTAATTGACTGAGTATCTTGGCTTGTTTGGATTAAAAACCTAACTAAACACAATTGCCTTGCGACTAATAAGATGCCAAGACCTGAGGATATGGTATGACTCTACATAGCAATTATACTGGATGTTGGCCAAAAAGTGAGCTACATGAATAATTCATGGCAACTGAAGTCCCTTATGTGCATGTGGCGTATACTTGTTATTTGGCTTATTGAAATACAGCGTGAGTCGCAGCCAACTTGAACTTCAACTGGCATTCGGGCTGACCAAATATTTAACAGTTGTTTGCGTTCACGTTTCTGCCAACCGCCTCAGTGTCTGTTACAATTTTCCTCATTTTTCGCAGCGCTTTCTGCCATAATTTTACTGCCAATTTCAGACGGCGAGAAAGTTGGCCAACTCGGGCTCCGGCTCCACCTTCGTGTCTGGCCTGGGCTCTGGCTTCAGCATGGGCTGTTGCTGTTGCTGTAGCTCTCCTGCACTTGCACGTATTTACGTAGCGATTTTTATTTCCTGTAATTTTTACGATATTACTTATTTTTATGCAGCGCACGACGCACCACCACCACCATCAACACCACCACCACCACCGCCAACGCTGCCAGTGGGGTTTTCAGGTGGTTGGGTGGGTCAGCGGGACGTTGCGTTTAGCTTTCGTTTTGCATTTTTATGCCACTTTTATGGCCCGCTGAAGTGCGGCATTATTGGTTTCTCGAAAAAAAATGCGAGTTGCCCTCGTAAAGGAAATTAAAATAACTCCGGGGCTGCCCCAGAAGCCACTAGCGCTTCGCTTTAAACCAGCCCCATTGGGCGACACATTTCCAAACAGTCGAGTACAAAAATGTTAGAAAACACACGTTAAATATTAAAATATTATATTATACATTCAGTTGGAATTTCGAACGTATGTGTTCGTCATTTTTTACGATAGCTGAAGTTACGTATTATTTTTACAGTTGGCTGGCTTATTTATTCTGTGGCATTTGTTATTATTTAATTTCAATATTTATGCAGCCTGTCTGGCGTAACTACGGCGCATTATAATTGCCCGCACACCCAAAGGCCAAGCCTGAAAAAACCCATTTGAAATCAACTTTAAATTTTATTATGCTCGAGGCACTTCTGCTGGGCAAGTTTTCTATCTGACAAATGTTTCCTACGGTCTCTATGGGGGCATACAGCTGGACATCATATTGTACGTGCTGCTATGGGTCGCCCTCGTTGTAGGGTTAGTTTGTGTTTGCTTTTCAAATGTAAAAGACCCAAACATAATTGTAATCTATTGTGCCCACATACAGCTGAGGCCAAGAGATGTATCTTAAGTCAAGTAGAAATATTTTCTAAAATTAGTCAAGGTCATTTGATGTAGAAATTGATGGCAAATTTTTCAAGTAGAAATTAAATTTAAAGTAAAGTGGAAATTAAATTGCTTTTCGATAAACCTTTCAAGTCATGTTACCTCTGCCTCTCTCATCATCATTTCTATGAAGCCCTTTGCCCTCTGATTATCTTCTCTGACCTAATCCGATTGCAACTTGATTATTCGAGTGTTTTCTCATTAGCTTTGTATATAAACGCTGAGTCAAGTCGCTTTGATTACTTGATTTTTTATCATATCATGTTTATTCAGCCAGGAAGTCGGTCGACTGCGATTATCAATGTATTTACATACTCGTATAAAAGCTGCAATATATAGACTCGACATGAGCCATTCCATTTGCTTAATCTTGATTTTCCAATTATCTCTCAATTTATTATGGGCCCCAATCGAGTCCACGACTAGCTAAAGTAAAGCCCCTTTAATGGAGCTATTAACATATTCAAGTGTAATTTGATTATTTTTCATTGCTTTTATCGATCGTCCAAGTTATATATTGTTTTCGCTTTAGCTAATTCTTACTGGTTTTCGTTATATAATTTAAAAGTTTATTTCACTTAAGCACTTAGCTCTGCTCGACTGCTGGCAAGACCAAGAACTCTTAACAATGGCTGGAGCAAGTTTTAATGTTTTTTCGATTGATTTGAATGCACAACTTGAACGACATCAGCAGCAGCCAGCAGCCAGCAGCAGCAGTTAAAATTTAGTTTTAGTTTTAGTTTTAGTTTTAGTTCAATTTCGATTGAGTTATTTGCGTTTGTTCGCTGCAAGTTCTTGGCGACTTACTGCCTTTATAACCTGTCCGTCTGCCCATCTGTCCATCATTCCATCCGTCAGTCAACGTTGCTGTGTTTCAAATTAAATTGGCCTTTGTGTGATGTCGGGCTATAGGCAGACTAATGTATGGCACACATGTTCACTTGGCAAGGGGTCTGGGGCATAGCCATTGATGCCCCATTGGTTCCATTAGTTCACTTGTCCGCTGGACATGCACACAATGAAGCCAAATACAACGGCAAACGCTCATTGAATAAATAATCAAAATCAAATACATACTCACATGTTGCTGCTGCTACTGATTGTTGTTGCTGTTGCTGTTGCTGTTGCTTTGTGACTTCGTTTTATTCACTTCTCTTTTTTTGTGTGGTCTTTTCATTGCAAAATATCCAATTTCCAATTTCAAATTCCAATTATATTGCTCTACGCTCTTTTTATTATTATTATTATTGTTGTTGTTATTGTTGCTGTGGCTGTTGCTGTTGTTGATGTTGATGTTGATGTTGCCGCTGCTGGCAGCGAGCGCAATGAAAAATCAATATTGACAAGAAAATGTGGCCAAGAAGATGCTGCCTGAAACGTCGCTCAATAAGGACGCAAATGTCGTGACAAATGAAATCAATCGAAAAATGCAGCCATATATGTATGTATGCATGTGCACAAGTCAAATACACTCGAAACAAAAGTAGTGTTCGTTTCGAAAGAGCAAACTAAGCTCTATATCTGAGCTGCTGGTTCATGAGCCATGCAATGCTACGCTTTTAGTTATCTTTTTAGCAAAGTGCATGGACTATTTCGCTCAGTGCAACAGCTCTGCGTAGGCAGCTGCAAATTCTGCTGCATTGCACATACGAACTGTAGGAACTTTGTGCCGAACTTTGGCCAAGAGCTGCCCTGTCGCTTGCCACTAATTGCTGCCGCTGTTGCTGTCGCTGGTGCATGTGGCAAGAGCCAAATGGGCACATCCGTTGCAAGAGACTCGCTGGCTGCTCAATCAATTGGCCAGCGGAAATGTTGCGACGCCCTCGAAACAAATTGCTTAATTACAAATATTGTAAGGCAAAGTTTCAGGAAGTTCTAAGAAATGTGAATGCGAATGCGAATGCGAATGCGAATGCGAATGCAAATCCAAATGCGAGTCACTCATTCAAATAAGCAAGAAAAATTGCATGCCAAATGCTGTTGCACAGCCAGTCAAATGTCTATAATTTAAGCAAAAACAAGCGACAGATACAAGCAACAACAACAACAGCAACAGGCAAATCATTTGAAGTTGCAGTTGCAGTTGCTGTTCTTTTTGTTGCTGCTGCCGTTGCTGTTGCTGTTGCAAAATTTATGCACGCGGCTGCTGCTGTTGCTGCGCGGTTGTGGCAGTTGTTGGCTGGCTAATTTGCCGCTGCAACCAGTGGAAATTGCTGATGTGCAAAAATGTTGTTGTTGTCGTCTTGTAAATGCCATAAATTAGTTGCCTGCCAGCAGACGAATAGCGCAATTTACAAAACTTTATTTTTTTCTTCATTTCTGTTTATGTTTTTTTTTTTCTTCATTGATTTTATTCATTTTTATTGCTTCTCTTAATTCAATTTATTATCTGCGCTGTGGGTTGCATATTTTGGCATTGCCATGCACAACAAATTATTGGACACACACTCACACACGCACACATTTGTATTTTCCTGCTTGGCGAAGGTCGTGTGGGTGTCTCAGTGGGCGGCAGCTGCCATTTGCCAGCGGCATAAAATATGCATAAAGCCAAAATCAATGCTATATATCTATATACATGCATATATATATCTATATAGATGAGTGTGTGTGTGTGGCAGTAAGAGATTGGAAAAATTGATATATGGTAAATGCTTTGTAATGTGCACAATGAAATCAAATTGAATTAATCAACGTACTCTCCCCCTCTCCCTCTCTCCCTCTCTCTACTTGTTTTAAGTAGAGTGAAAAGTGTATATAATTCGTATTTATTAAATAAATATTGGACTTTTGTCTATAGATTTCATATATGTATTATGCGATCAGCCACAAATCCCATATGCATAATCTGAGCACAACACTCTAAACTATTTCTGTCAGTGCATGCACTCTAGAGCGTATATAAGTAAGAGTTAAGTATAGCCCACATATAAGTAAGCTTTATAAATTGCTTATCGTGAGACGACATGGCGAACGCTAGATGGCGCTAATTTATCAACATTTCCGTTTCAGTTGTTGTCACCATTTCCGTTGCATGCCCCGCCTTGAGTCAGCCAAGCATGGCAATTGCCATGGCATCCGCAGCTCATAAATAAAAAGGTAAACTCTTAATTGTAAAAGTTTTCATTTTTATGACAAAATTGAAGCAATTTATTTTGAAGCAAACAAAAAATAAATAACAAATGAGAAAACGAACAAGACGCAACTTAGAAAATTCCCATAACGCTCATGGTCATAGCTCTTTGGTGGCTAGTAACAACAACAATGGGCTCTAAGTGAAATCAATGGCAGGGCAATTGCTAAAACGAGAGCAGCAAACGAAAATGCTTCAAAGAATTTTACAAGCAACAATGAAAACCTAGAAAAGCAGCAGCAGCAGCAGCAGCAGCCGAAGGAAATCCCACAATTCCCAAACAACAATAGCAAATAAATTAAATTAGTCACAAGCATATTTCAAAAATATATGTGTATGTATATATGTATATCTAACTATATCTTTTTTATATCTACATAATGTCTCTTTCTCTCTCTCGCTCAATCTGGGTATGTGAGCGAGAGGGATGCCCGCACACAGTTGCGCCAAGGATGAAAGCCAACAATAAAACACAGACGAGCATTTTATATATACATATACATATATATGTATATGTATACCTATTTTATTTTATGAGCAGAGGACTGTTACATAAAACTCGCTTTAGGCAAGGGTTGGCTCAGGCTCGGGGCCAAAGGGAGGCGTGGCGCGGCAACGGCCCAGTTTACGACACAGTCTCTGGCAAGCATTTGCCGCGTGGGTGGCTGCCCAACTGCAGCTACACAGGCTGCCAAATTGCCTCAGTTTTCTATACGGCATGAAAAAAGAAATAGATAAAAAGTTTGTTGCGAATAGAGCGGGGGCTGCGGTGCAAGTAGCGGCTATAGAAAGGGGAGACAACCAGTCGAAAGCGGCTTTAAAAAAAGCGTCTCCAACTCCGTCTGTGTCGCGTCGGCTCGAGCTAAAAACGACAGCAGAAAGTCCCCAGACGGGGCCAGACGCTCGAAGGACACGCAGAGGCGGCACACCCACAAAAAACACACACACCCATACAAAAGCACAGTTAAATACACATACACAAGTCGAACGACATAATAAAACCGGCATTTTTATGCATGTCTGAGTAACTTCATGAGCCGAGCCAGACTTGGACAGCTGAGAGACGGAGACAGGAAGCAGGGGGTGCAGAGGAGTAGAGGGGCAGATGGGGAGTTTTTTGCTGCTGCTGCTTGTAGGTAGTTCCAGTGCAGCTTGGAGTCTGTTTCAGGTTCATTGGAAGGCCGCCACCTCTCCGAAACAGCTCCCGTGGGTTCAAAGGGGAGCGCGAGCTTGCGCAGTGGCAACTGCGCTCTTTATTCAGCTGACTGGGAAGCCATCGATGAGGCGAACCTGCGCACTGGACGGGCGTGTCACAGGAACAGATCTAGAGAGTACAGTGAAAACAACAAAAGCGCAACAATAACAACAACAAACAACATTTTGGGAAGGTCGTTGCGAACAGTTGTGTTCGCGACACAGCGCACAGCTGGACCACAACAGACACGGACACACTGATGCAGAGAGGGTCACATTTATGCAACGAGGCGTCGACCGGCATGTAATTAAGTTAAGCCCGAACGAATGTCGATATTGATGCCGTTTCGGCTGACGATGTGGCCATAAAAGTCGGGGCCCATGGACTCGGCTCTAGGATGCTGGCTTCGGCCTTAGAGCAAGCCACTTTTGCGCTGCAGTCATTTGAAAAAGTAATTGTCTGAGTATGTGTGTGTCTGTGTGTAGCGAAGTTGAGGTCGTTTGCCGGCACTTGCTGGGACACACACACACACACACACTTGTCACTTTTATACTGCTATGTGGGAATATATCCCATGGCCAGCATCTGTGAGCTGGAGTTAACAAAAGATCCAGCACATTTGTAGGTGTAACATATGCTCTATATGTCAGAAATAGATTGCGCAAGTGAGTCGAGGAAAATAATATAAAAACAGCGTGAAGAGACACTTAGTTGAGGTCTATCTGGCAATATCTATGGATTAAAGCATACGAAGTACATTGATAAGGATTTGCTAGCACTTGGGGGCTTGAAACTCGCTCGCTAATTCAATTCTGTATTCTCTACTAATACATGCTGAAAATGTTTAGTTCTTTAGAGAAACAAATAGACTTTGAGCCACATTGAAATAATTCTCACATCTTCAATGGCAATTTAAGATCAATCAATCAAGTTAGGGGTAGATGGGCTAGTTCAGTGAGGGCTGCGGGACACACCTATTGAGGTGCCGCGGCACGATGTGAATTGAGGAGCGTTTTTAATTGAAAATTGCTGTCATGAAGAAAACGCATAAACAACACTTCTAAGAAATAGTCCAGAGAACCAAAGGTGCCATAGAAAGATACAGATACGTTTCTATATATGCATACATATGTGGCAGAAGTATAAATTCACATAACAATTGTACAATATGCATGACAATGAGCGGTTCGTTCCCGTTTCAGTTGTGCTGTCTTCGAGGCACAGGCGGGTAGACAGGCGGTCAGGCAGCCAGCGGGGCAGCGAGGCAGCGGGGCAGACAAGTGTGCTGACACAAAGAAGTCTTAGGAGAATGGAAAAACTATTGTCTGAGCCACTTTTTGGAGAGTCGTGCACGAAAATCAAAATTTATGAATTTCGTATTCGAAATGAAGAGCTGAGCCAAGTGGCTGTACAACAGCAGCCGAAGAAGAAGATGAAGGAGAAGAATTTTGAGTGCCGGCTGGCACTCAAGTCCGCTCTGGCCTCGAGGCCTCGACGTATTCAAGTAAAACAAACAATATAAACTTCAAAAAACGCTTCGTTGCATATCAAATTAATTACACAGAGGCCCCAAAAGCAGCCAGAAAACTTGCACAGGCCAAAGTCTGGCTAGGGCCATAGGGGCATGGGGCATGTCGTATGCCGTATGCGGCAAGTGGCAAGAGGCAGTTGCACAGAGTCCGTCAGTCGGGCAGACTGGCTGTCAGACAACCCTTGAAGATTGTTTTCTTATGCCGAGGGGCTGCAGCCAGCGCTCAAGGAGCGACGCCCCAAACTTTGAGCACAAAAGAGGCGAGTTAAGCTTCTCACGACGAGACGGGGTTGTAGGGAAGTAGGGGAAGAGGGCGAGTGGCAGGCAGGCAAGCAGGCAGGCAGGGCGACAAGCTGACAGCCAACAGCAATTCATGCGAACTGAAAAACTGAAGGCATAATTTATGCCTTCAAAGTGAATTGTTCAAAAGAAAACTTGGAACATTTTTCCCCTTAACAACAACAGCAGTACGTCCTGTTCCTGTTGTTCTATACATACGTCTGTACAGCGTATATGTCAACACAGCCCGCACCGAGAACAATAACACATTCAGCCAGCATAAGATAAATAGCCCGCCAGGACTAGCCGAACGCCGCATGCCCTTTACTCAATGTCAACGGCAGCGACAAAGAGTGCATCAAGCTGGAACGCTGTGGTTCGCTGAAAGGAAATATGAGCTTCAATGGTCGACTGGGCAACAGGGGCATACAGATATCTCTGAAACTCGCTTTCGACTTGTGATTAGAGCCATTAAATCAGGACTCGAATGCTTTTGGATGCTATCCTAACGCTTGATGCGGGATCTTAAAGCGCTTAGCCTGAAAATCCTTTTTATTTGAAAGGGCCAATCAAGGCATAATGCTGATTCAGCAACATGCTGAGCATCGTACAATAATGACCCCTGGCCTAACACAGCCTGCATATATTTAAACTTCACTTTATGTGTGCTAAAAACCCTCTCGAAACAATGTGAGGTCCGGCGCACAAAAATAGAATGGAAACTGAATCCGTGGAACAGAGTCCAGCCAGTGCTCACATGATGTCCGAGTAAAATGGCAATTTATAAATGGACACGACCGGGAGATTCGCTGGAACTGAGGGCCCGGCAGACAGAGCTTCGACTTGAATGGCCAAAACTCACGCACAGGCCGTGACAGTCTCCACAAGGCGGAGTCAGTCCCTCGGCCGTAGCCGAGGCCCAAAAAAGGTTTTCGACTCTTCTGGTGCAGGCGACCCCAAAAATGCTATTTTAACTACATTTGGCTTTTTTATGGGCCAGTTGCTGTGTCGTCGTCTTCTTCTTCTTCTGTTTGGTGGGTCTTATACCGAAACATATAGTGTACATTTATTAATACATAATCATCTCTGACGGCAACATGAGAGCCGGCCACATGGCTGCGGTCCCAGCGGACAACTTTTGAGCATTGAAAATAAAGCAGTAAAATTGTAATAGATAGTTAGATACAGATGTCTGTCGGTGTATGTATGTGTGTGTTGCCTGTGTACGTGTTGTGAGACTTGTTCTTCGGACAAAGGTTCTAGGAAATCCAACCTAACTCTGTGAATTCAAGCTGACTGCCCCGAAAAATGCTTGTGTTTTGCTTCCACTCTACTTGGACTTTATTTTTTATTTTTTTGTATTTTCAGTTTTCAGTTTTGAGTTTGAGTTTAGCTCTGGTTTTCAGCTCAGTTGCTCAGAAATACAGATAACCAAATAGTTTGTCTTTGTTGCTGCCGGAGCCGAACCAAGAGCCAGAGGCAGAGCCAGGCTTCTGGGAAGAGTTGAATAAATATTTCCATATGCATGATTAGGGCAGTAGAGTTAATAGGCAGCAGTATATTAGAATAAACCCACTTTATACTAAAATTCATAAAATATACATGCACAAAAGGTACATAAACCGTATATTAACATTCTCTTTATTCAATTATATTCTTTGTCTAGTATCACAGTTCACCTTCAAAGTCTCTTAAGTGATGAAGCTCAATCAGTGCCCGTAAATTGCCATTATGCAAAACGGCAATCAATCTATTTAAGACGAGATAGGGAGAGAGAGGGACATAGAGAAAACCCCAAAGTGTTGTCAATGAAAACAGGAAAATTGTTGGTCATTGCGTGAATGAAAATGCACAGAGCTGTAAATGCCCAGTAGCCGGAGATGAATTTAAGACCAAAGGAGAATGCAGGTACGATAGCAGAGCACGATGGGTTGAAATGGGGCAAGC